CTCGGGACCGTCAACAAAAACGGCTCTGGACGAAACAAACCGGCACTAGGAAAGTGCTCCAGACCTCTGGGGCCCATACATCGAAAAATTCGGAGCAGCCGGATGTCCCGGGGTTGGTGGCACCCCGAAGGGGCCCGCCCGAGTGGAGGCCTCTGGCGGGGGAGCTCTCCAAGACGCCCTCCCGACCCCGTCTCTGGAGCTGCCTCGGGGCGCGCGGCCTCTTGAGGGGGGCCGCCAGGGCCGCTGTGCGATGCCCGCCCCCTCTGCGTGGGAGGGCTGCCGCTGCTCGGGGCCGGAGCCGTCGCTTTGTGACCTTCAGGCCATGGCTCGAGGCCGCGTCGGCCGTGCGGTGGTGAGCGCGGGCCTCTGGAGAGGCCCCTTTCGGGCCCGAGGCCAGCAAGAGCGGTGCCGAGCACCCACGGCGAAGGGCCCACACGGTCGGCAGGAGGGCCACGGGTCCTGCCGCCGACCGCCCCGCCCCATACAGTAGCTTGGCGCCGTGTGGACTTGCGGCGACCCAGACTCGGTCCGTGTTGAACGATCTGACGTTTCGGAAAACGGCCGATCGTTCAAGGCTGCACCCCAACATTCTTATACTACATGTGCGTCGCCCCCCAGGAGCGACGCGCGCGCCGAGAAATCTTCTAGTATGTGCGTCGTGGTGGGCGCTTTCTGGCCACACCTCTCGGAAAACGATATATACTACAAGATGGGTATACTACATGTTCGGGTCGGACGCGCGCCTCCAAGGAGGACACCTAGCAGTAGTATGTCCCTGCGCGTCCCAGTGAGGAGGAGGAAGAGGAGGAGGAGGAGGAGGAGGAGGGAAGGAGGAGGAGGAGGAGGGGGAGGAGAGGAGGAGGAGGAGGAGGAGGAGGGAGTGAGGAGGAGGGGGGGAGGAGGAGGAGGAGGAGAGGAGGAGGAAGGAGGAGGAGGAGGAGGCAGGAGGAGGAGGCGGAGGAGGTGAGAGGAGGAGGAGGAGGAGGAGGAGGAGGAGGAGGAGGAGGAGGTGGCGAGGAGGAGGAGGAGGAGGAGGAGGAGGGAGGGGAAGGAGGAGAGGAGGAGGAGGAGGACACTGGCTGCACGATCCCCGCGGTGCCGGGGCCGACGCGACACGAGCCCGCAGAGGCCTCGCCAGACCCCGCCGCCCCGCCGCTCGGCGAGGCCTCCGAGGGCCTGTGCCCGTGCTCTAGGCGTGGCCCGCGCTCCCGAGGCACCGCGCTTCGGCGCGACGCCCGCCGAAGGGCGGGGACTCCTATAGGATTCCTGGAGGATTCCTGGGATTCCGTTCGGATCCCTCCCCAGATTCCTCCTCCTCCTCCTCCTCCCCTTCTCCTCCTTCTCCTCCTCCTCCTCACTCCTCCTCCTCCTCCTCTCCTCCTCCTCCTCCTCCTCCTCCTCCCCTCCTCCCCCTCCTCCTCCTCCTCCTCCTCCTCCTCCTCCTCCTCCTCCTCCTCCTCTCCTCCTCCTCCTCCTCCTCCTCCCCCGTCCTCAGACTCCTCCGCCCTCCTCCTCCCCTCCCTCCTCCTCCGTTCCTCCCTCCTCCTCCTCCTCCTCCTCCTCCTCCTCCTCCTCCTCCTCCTCCTACTCCTTCGAGGATCCCCTAGCGATTCTTCAGATCTCCATCGTGCAGGAGTCCTGGGATTCCCTAAGGGGTTCCGAGGGATTGCCTGGGGAGTCCCAGGATCCCGTAAGGATTCCGTAGGGATTCCTGGGGTGCTCTTGTCGGCCCCCAGGGGTCGTCCCTGGACCGCCGGGGGACCGAGGAGGCGCGTCCCAGGAGTCTCCAAGCAGGGCCCGTCTGCTCTGGTCGTGGCCAGTGAAGGGCAGGGTGGCCATCGGGAGGCCCAGGTCCCCAGGTGTTCCAGCAGAGCGAGCACACCAGCTCGGATGCAACTCCTGGGAGGTCAAATTCTGTTTTCGCCCTGGTCCGAAATCTGGCTTAATCCAGCTTTATCCCGCTTAACCTGGCTTAATCCCGCTGAATCCTGCTCAGTCCGAGGCCCACTCCGGCGTAACAGCTCCCACATGGGGCTTAATCTTCTTTAATCTTTCCTACGAGAACCTCCCAGGAGTTGCCTCCTAACACCGGGGTGTCGGATGTACTGTGGGGCGGTTCTTTCACACAGTGGTCCCCCTGGAGCCTGGGGCAAGGTTTTCTCGCCTCCCAGGTATACAGCACGCCTCGCATGGACGTGTTCGACAGCGATCCAAAGTGTGTCGAGAGGCGCCTTCTACTGATAGAGGAGGAGCTCGCCGAGCTCGAGGCCGCCGTGAACGCAAAAGACATGGTCGAGACGATCGATGCCTTGGGTGACATACTGTACGTGGTCTATGGCACTGGTGGGGCGTTCGGTATCGACCTGGACCATGCCTTCGACCTGGTGCATCGGTCAAACATGAGCAAGTTATGCACAACGGAGGAGGAGGCTCGGGAGACAGTGGAGTGGTACAAGAAGAACTACACACCGGGCGGCAAGTACCCATACGACACGCCAGAGTATTAGGTCGCTTGCGGCAAGTCCCGCCACCGTGCCAGCCCAAAATTCAAGGTGGCGGTTGTTCGAGGCGGCACGGGAGGCCGTCACGTGTGACACATCGTGTCCCCAGGCTTGGGAGTGCCGTGATGAGGATGCCGAGGATTGTGAGGATGATGTTTATGGTGATGATGATGCTGATGACAATGCTGATGCTGATGCTGATGGTGGTGATGGTGATGGTGGTGATGATGTTGATGATGATGGTGATCACGAAGGTGAACATGAACTTGCTGATGGTGATGAAGATGATAGTGTGGTGGTGATGCTGATGCTGATGCTGATGACGATGACGATGATGATGATTATGATGATGGTGGTGGTGATCACGATGACGATGACGATGACGATGATTATGGTGACGAGGATGACGATGATGGTGATGATGATGAGGAGGACGAGGATGATGCTTAGTATGATTAGTATTATTCGTGCGATGATGGTGATGATGATGACGGTGGTGATAGTGACGATGATGACGACGACGGCGATGATGCTGATGGTGGTCATGATCGTGATGATGGTGGTGGTGGTGGTGCTGATAGTGGTGATGCTGATGTTGTTGATGATGACGACTATGACGATGCTGACGAAAGTGTTGATGCTCAAAGTGATGATGATGTTGATGCTGATGATGCTGATGATGATGATGATGATGATGATGATGATGAACTTGATGATGAGGAGGAGGAGGTGGAGGAGGAGGAGAAGAAGAAAGAGCAACAGGAGGAAGAAGAGGAAGACTGTCACATGTGACACTTTTCGTCTTCACTATTTGGTGTGCTCTCATGGAACTCGTTTGGGCCGTCTTGGGGCTGCCGTGGCCTCCCATGAGGCAGTCGTGGGGGTCACCTGGGACCCTCTTGAGGCCGACTTGAGGCCCTGGAGGCCATCGTGGGGTCATCTTGACGCAGTCTTGGGCCGTGGAATGCCCTTCTAAGGCAGTCTTTGGTCCCAGGGGGGGGGCTCTTGGGCCGTCTTGGGGCCGTCTTGGATGCTTCTTGGACACTCGTGGTGTCCTCTTGGGCAATCTTGGGGGCATCGTTGGGGCTTGTTGGGCCGTCTCGGGGCAATCGCGGAGGCTTTCTGGGCCGTATTGAGTTGACGGGCGCCCGGATAAGCGAGAATGTTGTGTTTCATATATATACATCATATATGTACATAATTATATGCTTACACACATATATATATATACATGCATGCATGCATGCATACATACATACATACATACATACATACATACATACACACACACACACGTCGAAGACGCCTACGGCGAATCACCGCCGCCCCCTGCCTTTGGGAATCGTCCATGTGCGTTGTGGCAAGAGCTCTGCCAAGCTATCGGACCATGTGTTCCCCAAGCCAGTGTGGAAACCCTTCGGGGAACATTTGGGGGAGGATGGCGGGAGGAGGAGGCATCATGAGAGCCTGTGGGGGCACTCTTGGGGCCTCCTGGGAGCTTCCTGGGTGACTCTTGAAGGCATCTCTGGAGGCTCTTGGGCCTCTTCGGGGGCCTTTGGGGGCTTTTCGGGGGCTCCTTTGCCCGTCTTAGGGCGTTCCTGGTCCGTCTGACGCCGACGGATGCCGTCTTGGAGGCCTCTCTGGGCCGATGTGGGGCCCTCTTGGGTTGCTCCAGGGCAGTCTTGGAGGCCATCTTGGGCGTCTTAGATGCCTGTTGGGGCCGACTTGGGGCCCTCTTGGGGCCCTCTTGGGCCGTTCTGGGGCCATCTTGGAAGCCTCTTGGGCGATCTTGGGGCGATCTTTGGAGGCTCTTGGGCCGCCTCGGGCCGCGGGACGGCCGAAAACAATCAAATGCTAAAATCCGTCGAACACCTGCGGTCTATGTTTTTGGCCGCTTCGGGCCTTGCTGGAGGAGCTCTTGGAGGCCGCTCGGGCCTTCTCGGGAGCCTCTTGGGGGCGTCTTGGGCTATCGTGCGGCCACCTTGGACCGTCTTGGTGGCTTCTTGGGCAGACTTGGAGGCATGGGCCATCTTGGAGGCCATCTTGGACCATCTTGGGCGAACTGGGAGGCCATCTTGGCTGTCTTGAAGGCGATCAGGTCATTTGCTCGGCGGGCTGTGCGGCCTTCTGGGTGGCCAGAGGCATGCGCCGAAACCCCAGGGGGGGCGGTCTTTTGGAAACGAACCCAAACCAAAAACGGTAGGGTCTAGCACGCCAGGCAGCCTTGTGGCAAGACCACAGGGGGCGGCGTATCGAAGACGCCTACGGCGAATCGCCGCCGCCCTTTGCCTTCTAGAATCGCCCATGCGACCGAGCGTTGCAGCAGGAGCTCTGCCAAGCTATCAGACCATGTGTTCCCCCAGCCGTTGTGGAAACTCTTCGGGGAACACTTGGGGGAGGATGGCGGGAAAGATCAGGAGGAGGAGGAGGAGGAGAGAGAGAGAGAGAGGAGGAGGAGGTGCAGGAGGAGGGGGAGGAGGAGGAGGAGGAAAAGGAGGGGAAACAGAGGAGGAGGAGGAGGAGGAGGAGGAGGAGGAGGAGGAGGAGGAGCGGGAGGAGGAGGAGGAGGAGGGGGAGGAGAAGGAGGAGCAAGAGGAGGAGGAGGAGGAGGAGGAGGAGGAGGAGACGGAGGAGGAGGAGGAGGAGGAGGAGCAGAGCAGGAGCTGGGGATATGTTGGGAGCCTCTGGGGACACTCTTGGAGACTCCTGGGAGCCTCTTGGAGGCCTCTTGAGGGCCTCCCTGAGCCTCTTGGGGGCCTTTGGGGGCTTTTCGGGGACTCCTTTGCCCGTCTTAGGGCGTTCCTGGCCCGTCTGACGTCGACGGATGCCGTCTTGGAGGCCTCTTGGGGCCGACTTGGGGCCCTCTTGGGATGCTCCAGGGCCATCTTGGAGGCCTCTTGAGCCGTCTTGGGGCCGTCTTGGGGGCCTTTTGGGTCGTTCTGGGGCCACTTTGGAGGCCTCTTGGGCGATCTTGGTGCGATCTTTGGAGGCTCTTGGGCCGTCTCGGGCCGTTGGTAGGCCGAAACGAAGCAAAGGCCAACATCCTTCAACAACCTAAGGAAATTCAATGATTTCGGCCTCCATCGGGCCTTCCTGGGGGCCCTCTTGGGGGCCTCTTGGGCCGTCTTGGGCCACCTTAGAACCATCTTCGGCCGTCTTGGTGGGCTCCTGGCCCGTCTGACGCCGTCGGAAGCTGTCTTGGGGGCCTCTCTGGGCCTACTTGGGGCCCTCTTGGAATGCACCAGGGCCGTCTTGGATGCCATCTTGGGCGTCTTAGAAGCCTCCTGGACCTTCTTGGGGCCGTCTTGGGGGCCTCTTGGGCTGTCCGGGGGCCGTCCTGGAGGCCTCTTGAGCGATCTTGGGGCGATCTTCGGGGGCTCTTGGGCCGTCTCGGGCAGTCGTCGGTAGGCCGAAACGAAGCAATACCAAAATCCTTCAAAACCTGAGGGGAATCAATGATGTTGGCCTCTTCGGGCCTTCCTGGAGGCCCTCTTGGAGGCTTCTTGGGCTATCGTAGAACCACCTTGGTCCGTCTTGGTGGGCTCCTGGCCCGTCTGACGCCCTCGGGAGCCGTCTTGGGGGCCTCTCTGTGCCGACTTGAAGCTCCCTTGGGGTGCTCCATGACCGTCTTGGAGGCTTCATTGGGCGTCCTAGGGGCCTCTTGGGCTGTCCTGGGGCCCTCTTGGGGCCGTCTCGGGGGCCTCTTGGGCGCTCTGGAGGCGATCTTGGGGGCCCCTTGGGCGATCTTGGGGGCCTCTTGTGCCGTCTTGGACCATATTGGGCGAACTTGGAAACCATCTCGGGCCATCTGAGCCGTCTTGGAGGCCATCTAGGGCCATCTTGGAGCGGGAAAGGCATTGGCTTGTGTATTTTCTGGGTGGCCGGCGCGCTGGGCCAAAGCCCCAGGGGGAGTTCTAAAAGAACAAAACCCGAAAAAGGATCCAGCACGCCGGGCACCCTTGTGGCCAGCACAGGGGCAGCGGATATAGCTTCGGCCCATTCCGCCACCGTGCCTGGGTTGTAGGTCAGAGGTTTCTGGGATGGTCTCGTGGGAGGCCTCTCGGAAGCCTCTTGGGTTCGGTTTTTGGGTGTCTAGAGGGGCTCTCGAGGGTCGCTCGGGGGCCTCTAGGGACCTGATTCGGGCCGGCTGATTTCCCGAATAGCGCCACAAGGTTCTAACCTCAGGGATCTTTGTTTTGGGTCCCCCCCTGTTTCTCTCGGCGGGGAGCAAATTCGCCTCTCCTCCTCCTGCTCCTCTTCTTCCTCATCCTCCTCTACCCCTCCTCCTCCTCGTCCTTCTCCTCCTCCTCCTCCTGCTCCTCCTCCTGATTCTCCTCGCGGTCGTTATCGTCGTCGTCGTCGTCGTCGTCGTCGTCGTCGTCGTCGTCGTCGTTGCGGTGGAGACTATTTTCCCTCTATTGTTGAGCGGGCTGGATAATGTTGGAGGGCTCTTTCTCCCAGGGAAGAATCCACTGCGGGCCACCCTTCGCTCGAGAGGGATGGTGAGTCTCTTCCCACGAGGACTACAATAGGGATTCGTGGCTGCGATGATACTTGTGATTGCAGTCGGGATTGCAACCGCGAGTCTATTCGTGATTGTGGTGGCGGTTGTAGTTGAAGTCGTAGTCGTGGTTGTAGTCGTAAGGGTGGTCGGTTCAGGGAGGTTACCCTCATGTTCTCCGTATGTGTTGGATGTTCTTGTGCATCCCGGGGGAGGGTATCCTCAAATGATCTTAGGGTTTGGGGGGCGTTGGCCGGCGGCGGGTCTCATGGTCTTGAAGGATGTGTTTCTGGTTTAGGCCCGACTGTAGTCGTACTCGTATTCGTCGTTGTCGCTGTCGCGGCGGGGATTATTTTACTTTCAAATTTTCGGCGAGCTGGATGATGTTCTGGGGGTTCTTTCTCCCAAGGATGGGTGTTCCGAGGCGACCCTGGGCGACGGAGGACGTTTGAGCACTTTTGTAGGAAGATTGCAATACAGATCGACACTTTCTTCACC